ATCTTTTCTTCAAATAATTTGATTCAATCAAGTTTAATCAACTCAGGTCGCAGATTTATGAAGGCACTGCCTCTGCAGGCACACTGACTTTAACTTGACATTGACTTTTTTTCTTCCCATGGAGACTGAATATCAACTCTTTATTCTTGCATATGGAAAATAAGGAATACCATACGCATGACAAGATTTCAGAATGTCAGCAATCAAATAATTTCTGTTTCATAATTAAACCAGCATCTACAGAGCAAAACATTTAACTTTCACATCATATATATAAATATTATTATTTCCTATTATGTATTCTGTGGCTTTCTGTTTTGTTGCACCACTTTTATTTCCACTCTCCTTACAGCAGGACGTTGGCAGCTATCCAGCACAGTTCATTGTGAAGCTTTTGGCTGTAGTCAGGCAAGAGGTCAACTGAGGCAGCGAGGACAACTGTTTTCTCCAAATCAACATTTTATCGTACTATGATATGGTTTGGTCTCCATGGAAACTGCAATGGAAATTTCTTCCTAATGTTGAAAACCACGGAAACTGGTGCAGCACATCATGTGTAAGGAACAGCGATTTTAAAGAACTACTGCTTTGTGTGCGCTGTTATGGATGTGTGACTACGGGGGCTGACGGGAAAAAAAAGATAAAACCAGGCCAAGTCCCAAAGATTTCAAAGACTGAATTTAATGTAGGTGTTATGCAACGGCATTATTGATGGAGGAACACTCGCAAGCACTAACTGTATATTTCTAGCCATTAACCTACAGACGAGCGGAAAAACAAAATTCAGATACACAAAATGATTTTATAACCTCTACCACTAGTCCCCCTACAACAACCTAATACTAAACTCTAAATAGCACTTTGAAATACAAATTCCAACTCCTTTATACCACCACGTACTGAAACATATCAGTCACTTAATAAAACTTGATCCTGACGTTAACCCTAAAGTCATCCAAAAATTACTTTTAGAAGCACTGACCTAAAATTGTTCACTGTTCTTGAGCACATTTAGTTCATGCCATCTCCAAACACGCATCCACATTACACCACACATGCTGAGTTTCTTCTACTGTAAGTGGTTACCATAGATACTGCATTGTGAGGCACATGAAGTACAGTGGGTCCATCTCACGTGGGAAAAATCATTTATTTATAGAAGCACTGTGATGCGGCCAGAAACGAGTTTAGACAATGCACTTTTTTTTTTGACTAATCACAGGAACCGTAAGAGGGGCTGTGGAGTATGGTGTGCAAGTTTGTCAGCAGTGACTTTGAATTCTTATTGTGTTTTTCTTTGGCAAAATAGAACCAAGTCGCCTGTCAGAGCTGTCCATGGTGCTGAAGGACAGATGCACAAGAGCGGATATCTTCAAATCTTCTCTCATCTGTTTTTCTTTCTGTTTATCTACAGTGTAGCGTGCTTCCTCACACCAATTTCAGTCTCTTTAAAAATAATTTTATTGAACATACAGCTTAACACACACATACACACTCCAGTTCTACCATCTGAAAGTTCCTCCTCCCTCAAAAAGGTCAGCAAGTTGTGAAAAGTTTCTTGCAATAATCTCCTAGCTCTGCATCTTGCTCCTTGAGAGGCTGCTATATGTGTTCAAGTACAGAGTGCATATCATGACATGTTTAATTAAATCCTGTTTTGTTGAATAATGAACTAATTAACAAACTCCTTCTGAAGGCTTTTTCCTCCTTCATCAAAACACATTGGATTTTCAAGTATGTCCCGTTATCTTCCCGAAGTAATTGTACTTCCTAAATTGACATAATTGAATTGCTATTCATCCTGGCATACGAGGTGTATTGTTCTCATGGAACGAAGCATACCTAATTGCAATCCATCAGAATCACTGTGCCTTTTTCATCTCAGTTCAGAACTTAAGACTAATGAATGGTTTAGTGATTATATTTTATGGAAATATGCTCTGTTAGATATAATGACCTCTCATTAATTGCAATTGTTCTCTTGACATGGGCTTTAGAATGTAGCGACCGGTTACAAAGAAATTATAAATTGGGAAGACAGAATTGCGACTAACATGTAAGATCACGATCACCATGCCAGGACAATCAATAAAACTGATGTAAGGAGTTGCCATAGCTGAATTTTATCTCTGCTGGCTGTTCATATAACAATATGGATTTAGACGGCTCCCAATTTAGCCAGCCTAACCATCTGTTTCTCTACTCGCTGCACCACTGATTGTGAATGTTTGGTTGGAGGACTGACAGAGTGCACTTCTAGATGTAGTCTCCAGGCAGGCAATGATCCAGTCAGCATTTTAATATCTGTCTATAAGTCAGTCATTATGCTATTTAGGCAAAACGTCGAACTAGCAAGCGCATCGTTCTATCAATCAGCTATCCAGTCAGGTAATTATCCAGGCAGCAACTTGTCTGTCTAGGAAAAAAATGCTATGATGGAAGGAAATTAGGTGAGCAAACAGGCAGACAAGTTACAAATATATTCAAAAGTGCATGTCAGTCTCTGATTTGGGTCAAGCCAATCTTCTCCCACACAAATAACATCATGTAGCTTCAGATCCTTCTCTTTTCAGAAGTGCTAATTTTTGTAAATGTTAAATATTCTTATAAGTGGTGGCATGCTTAAAAAAACAGTGATCTACTAAATGTGTGGTGCGTCCAGTACTACTTAAAGCAACCAAATTGCAGAGGTGGCTTAAATAGTGATGGCCCTTGTCTGCATCACAAGTATTTATGTGCGTACACTTGTGACTGCTTTTCTGAGATATCAGAAGCTTTACAAAGCATGTTTAGCACATTCACAGCAGGGAGGAATAGAATATGTTCGCTTTTGCTGTGGCTCATCCAAAATCTCAGCTAGTGCCAGCAATGCAAATCAGGTCAGAAGCCTTTCATGGTCAGTGCACTGTGGTTAGTCAGATGAGTTGACCTCATGCTTTAAAAGATCAAGTTGATCGCGGCATTAGGGTCAGATAACATTATGTACCAGCAAGTCAACAGAGAAACTGAAACTGCCACTGCAATTGCTTCTAATACAGTACTACCTCAGTATATGCCTGGTCTGTATTTCCTACTATTGCCACTGTTGCAATTGTACCCACCACTTCTAGGATGGCCACTGCTCTCACCACAATACTCGTGTTGTATAAAGTAGTGTTAAAGCTTCTGCTCCCATATCTGTAACAAATGCTGTGTTCTATTTTGAAATATCAAATCTTAGTTTTATCATCCAGTATGCAAAGTGAAATTATGCCCTCCATGTTCTTCTAATAATGCAGCATACAGGATATTTCTTTAAAGAATTATAAATGTTCACCAAACTCTTTCTTAAACTTTCGATTTTTACTTTGATGATATGTCTAACAATACAAGATTGGGCGATCGTGGCTCAAGAGTTGGGAGTTCGCCTTGTAATCGGAAGGTTGCCGGTTCGAGCCCCAGCTTGGACAGTCTCGGTCGTTGTGTCCTTGGGCAAGACACTTCACCCGTTGCCTACTGGTGGTGGTCAGAGGGCCCGGTGGCGCCAATGTCCGGCAGCCTTGCCTCTGTCAGTGCGCCCCAGGGTGGCTGTGGCTACAATGTAGCTTGCCATCACCAGTGTGTGAATGTGTGTGTGAATGGGTGACTAGTAAAGCGCTATATAAATACAGGCCATTTACCATTTTAAAGAGAAAACCAAGAGAATAACTTCAATTTATCAGACAAATTACAGCAATATCCAGTTTTCTTTTAAAAGAATCAAATCTGAATATGCTTGAACTGAAAGTGATCGTTTCCATATGATTTAAACAATATTTTGAGATCATTATATAACTTCAGCTTTGAGTACAAAGAGACCACAGTTGCATAATCAGTCTTCACAATTTAATGCCTTTAGAAGAATTTCCTATATTTGTATCCCTCATATGAATTATTGATGGAATCACTATGATATCACTTATGATATGATACCTCTAATGAAAAAGTAATGGTGCACTGGAAGAAAGTATTGTAGTTCATTGATCACTGAGCATATAACCTTACAGAGGCTTGCTGGCATTCATCAGTGAATATTGGCTTTCACTTTTTTTTTCTCTTAAAGTTGTTCTGTTTTCAAGAGAAAAAATCAGTTTATGATTATTGCATATGAGTTATAATTAGCATTTTTTCCACATAGTGGTGGTACAGTAACTATTCCTCCCACACAATACTGTCTTTGACTTTTTTTTGCACGAACCTAGATGAATAATAAATAAATAAATAGAGTGATAAATTTCGCTTTTGCACTTCATTTGCAGGGTTTACTTTTCCGATATTTTTCTTTCTTCCATACACCTTGCACAAAATGTGCTAGTGGAAACTCACTTAGCAGGGTGCAATTTCTTGAACTGCGCTTTTGCAACAGAAATAAATTCATGTGAACTCAGTTCTGACTTTTACAGTATGGTGTTTCCCCCCCTTGTTCTGGGTCTGTGGAGTTTGAAGGTGCACTAAATGTACCTACCGCCCACTCCACTCAACCACCTAACTACTATATGAATCATGCTTTCGCTCTACTTGCAGTTTTCGGGTTTTGCATGAACAAAGTCCCGCGATTACACACACACACACACATACACTCACACACACACACACACACACACACACACACACACACACACACACAGAAAAATGAATTTGAAATCAATCTGTACTCAAAAAGGTCCCTTGCTATACTGTCCATTGATATAACAGTATTGTATTTGTGCAAGCTCTCTTTCTCTACTTCTCCCTCCTCCCCTTCTGTATCTCTCTTCGCGCTTTTCTTTTCCATCGTCTTTAAAAACACAAATAAATAAATAAATAAAGGACGACATTCTTCGTTATTTAACCTTCAAAACGATCTAAAGCAAAGTTGCCGTCGAGACCGATGTATTCCCTGCAAACTGCTTTGTCCCGTTAACGTTAAAGCTCGCGTCATTCTTCCTCTTCACTCTCTTAAAAACTCTTCAGGTTTTTCCAGCTGAGCGATTCAGGCTGAGGCGGGCGCAACCGCACTAGAGGGAAAGTCAAGTCGTGCTGGACTGGCGCGGTATCCTCTCACGGTTTACAAGTAAAGCAAGAGCGGACTCGCATTTTATCAAGCTTTGAAAATGATGGAATATGCTGATTTTAAAAGTTGACCTGGGATTTCTAGTTGTCAGGTGTCGAGGCATGGCTTTTCTTGTAACTTGCTTATTTTTGTCTTGGTGAGTATGGCAACTCTTTTCTCTGCATGTTCTCGGACTTTTACGCATCTTAATCACAGACTGTGGATGCTTGTGCCTTTGAGAAACTCAGTATATTCAACTGATTTTCTATCTGTTGAAATGAGCTTTGAGCAGTGCATATGTACTTTAGTTACAGTGCTAGCAGTGTTTGGGGAAATCAGCACAGTGAGACCAGTATATATTTGGATAACATCACGCGTATATTGGATAGATTACTGGATGGCTATGACAACAGACTGCGACCTGGATTTGGAGGTATGCTAATGGACGTATTATACTGTATTTTGTATAATATTGCTTCATGATGATTAGATCCATATCCTTCCTTAAAGGATAAAGTTTTACTCAACTAGTTGTGTGTATCTCATCTAGTTTACGTTATCTCTTAGCCGTCTTTCCCCTCTTACATTATAATAAAATCACAAGTTTGCTATTAGAAACTGTTCATAAAATTATCATATCTAAAGCATGCTGTTTTGTTGTGTGTTCATTTTATCTGATGTGGTTATTTTAAGTCTGTAAATGGCACATTTTATACATATAACTTTATTCCTTAACCTCTTTATATTTTAAGAAATTAACAAATAAGCTAGTCCAAAATTTTTGTCTGCATCAAAGCAACCACTTATCTTTCTGCTGTAGGTCCAGTTACAGAGGTCAAAACTGACATCTTTGTCACCAGCTTTGGACCTGTTTCAGATGTTGAGATGGTATGTCAACTATGCCGACCACAGAAGTACTGATACAGGATACACAAGGAAAAATGTGTGGATGTTATTCACATACATGTGTTTGGTTGATTGTAAACAAAGTACATGTGAAAACAAGATTTCACTGCAATGTATATGGTCTTTCAACCTCAACTCATGTTACTCCCAGCATTCATTATTCCAACATTTGGGCAGGATGTCATTAGTGCAGCTTAGGATTTTAATCTGGTTGACAATCCCCCCCACCACCCCCACCCTCCGCCATAGCGATGTGGCTGTGTTAGGATGGAATAGGCGGGCTACTTCTGCCACGGGATAGGCTGAGTGATGTATGTCTGTTGTACTCTACTATCTTTGGTCTTAAGCTTTAGATACTGCTTCACAGCCTCTAAAGCCTACTAGAACTGCCATGCGATATGCTAGGGGCAGTTCTATAGAGGGGTATGTAAAGCTTTTAAGGGAAGCAAGGCCATCCATGTGATCTAAAGGCTGGATAGACTCATAATACTGACTTACTGCTGACTCTACAGATGAAATAAACTGTGTCTATTTTAACTGTGTATTAATAATGAATTACTCAATCAATTCACTTAACTTTCAGAGCTGGTAGGGAATGAAACATGGAAAACAGAAAAGTAAAATTTGCAACAATTGAAGAAAAACTATATATA